TAACACTCTGCTGCCGGTCTCTGAGGAGAAGCCTGAAAACTGAGGCAAGACAATGACCTCAAGCCCGTATCAGTTCAACGAACTGCTCGGAGACCGTGAAAGACCAAGGAGGGAGGCCATTTATAGAGAAGCCATTTTACTGCGTCAATACAAAAGGCCAAGCCATATATTTTCTAATAAAGGAGGTCTCACCTTTTTGCTCTGCTGCTTGGTTAAAAATATATTATGAAAAACAAACACACTGAAGGTTTGAAGGTTAAATTTGGTATGGCTTATATGATGGATTTGAAAACATCCGATGAAGTTAACAGTGAGGTGCAGCTAGAAAAGCCAAACAATTAAAACCTTTCGTCTGATTAATCCCAGTGTAGCTATGGATTAATCACGATTGCTCTAGATCAGGCATGAGCAAACTACGGCCCGAGGGCCGGTTGTGGCCCCTTTGGCCTTCTGATTCAGTGCCAGACACTAATTTTTTTTGACATTTCTTCAGATGTCTCCTCGTCCCAAAAGAAATTACAGATTTTTTTTTTTCATCAGAACCAACATGTTTTTATTTGCAGAAAATGTAGTAAACAATTCCTGCCTGCAGACCTCTTTGACTGCGGCTCAGCAGACAGGGCAGGTTGCCTTCCAACCAAGGAGTTGGGGTTTTGTTCCACAGCTACCAGTCCCCAGTCTACATTCCTGTGTTCCCCTTGGCAGAACATTGAACTCCAAATTGCTCCTGGCAACCGTGCTGGCAGTACGTGAATGGATGTGTCAACAAAGTGATAGAAAAGTGCTGCATGAAGATGTGCAGCGCGAATGCGTAAATGCATGGGTGAGTGGTTCCACCGAAGCATGAAAGCACTTGCAGTTGTCATCGTGATCCGAGAAGCAACATAAAAAGGGAGCAACGTTGTCATTTGTCTTTGGTTACATTTCATTTTTATTACGTTTCCCTTCACTCCAGCCTCTCCTTCGAGTTCATTCACTCAAACTCCAACATACAGAGTAGCCTGCCGAAAATAGGCTCAGTGAAGCAAGTTTAAGAATGCTTTCTTAATTCCAAAAAAAGCTGTGCTGTAATTGACCGCCACCTGGGCATCTGGCAGAGGAAACAGAGAGCTGGAGAGCCGAGGATGAGAAGAAAGAGAGGGATGAAGAGGAAAGCTGAAGATGGAAAGAATGAAGGAAATGACAAGACAGGGATGAATAAATGCAGACTTAAAAAAAGGACAAGAAAGGAGGAGAGATTAATGGAGGGAGGATGGGGGGTGAGTGATGGAAACTTTCTGTTACCCCCTTCCTCTCTCTCTCTCTCTCTCTCTATGTCGCTCCCCCATTTTGACATGTCAATTCCAAGGTGTTTTATTGGCATGAGAAATGACGAGATGTGTTGCCAGGGTAATTACATAGCACATTAAAGGGTTTCATAAACATTACAGTTCCTCCTCTGCCCGGTGGCAGGGCTAAAGGGGGAGGGAGAGGGGAAAAAACAGTTTGAGAGAAATGGACGCGGGGAGCGGCAGCAGAGGCTGCACAAAAGGGGAGCCGGGAGGAGGATGTAAGTTTAGAGGGCACTTACTACAGAGGAGGGGGAGGTAGAGTGAAAGGGGGGAGTGTGGAAGAGATGAACAGGAAAGATGACAGGAGTGAAGGTTACCATGCTCATGGATTCCATCGCTGAACGCCTGAACATGAAACAGGAAGAGAGAAAAAAAAAAACCAACACGCTGGATCAGAGTCCAACACAAACCACAGCTGAAATTCACATCACTATGCAAGGACAGCACAGAACGCCCCCCCGCCCCCCACCACCTCTCCCCATACCCTCCATCACATGTACACAGACTTGTACATTACTTTGAATATCCATGAAGACTTGATCTTTGCATATACTAACAGTAAAGCACTCACATAAAAAAGCCACAAACCCCACACACTCAGCTGTGCAGGCTGTGTCACCGGGGTGGGGGGGCCACGACACTCTCACTAAACCAAACGCACGACCACAAAGCCCATAATTAAACAAACATCCACCCAGTCACTCCACACTGCATATTTATGTTTGACCTCATTGGTCACAAGAAATTACGCCGTACATCCTTCTGGGCACACACTGCCAATTAGTGTCAGACCACACGCTGAGCCACTCCTGTGGTGAACATCCATCAACGAAGATGTCAATACGCGACACCGCTGCACTTATTTAATAGTCCTGTTCATACAGTTGTAGAGTCAGATATTCATATCCCCTGTTGTTGCTGACAGTTTGTTTCCCTGGCTTAATTTTAAGATAGTCCCAAACCCTGGAATAGTTGGCCTCTGCGTGAGGTTCTGTCAAGAGTTCATGATCAAATTGATATACGGTCCAGGTGCATAAATATGGCTCAGTCCAAGTTTGATGTCTTTATGTTTTTTACATACCACTTCATCAATGAAGAGCATCCAAACTTCAAGAAGCATTGGCACGGAGGCGAGGATGAGGCAGTGGAGCTGCTGGATTGCATGTGTTTTTGGATTTAAGGCCGGCGTTGTGCTCTCAGCTAATCTGGGAAGGCACACGTGTTTTGTATTACAAGAAAGTTTGAAAATCTTTATCCACAACAACGACAATAAACATGTAAAAGAAAAAATATAAGCAGGTGACTGAAGTGGACGACACCGTGGACAGCCAGTCACTGGTCCACCAACGACAGGTGAGATTGCATGAATAATTACCCTGACTCCGGTCCAAGGAGCATCAAACCCTCCAACTTGAAAGTGTCAAAGTGAAGTTATTCCAGTGCTTCAGCTGGGCTATGTATAGAGACAACAGCTGCAAAGGATTCTGAAACTGAGAAGAGTAAACGTTCATATTCTCCGAATTAATCTCGCTTAGGGGAGCGAAGGCTGTGCACCACCAACATCGCTGCTAATAAAAACAATATTTAGCTATTCTCTTCATCTCACTTTTCACTGCAGCTCACTGTTGCACAAATGGCTTCTCCGCTAATTAATTCCTGCTCTTGCTCAGTTTCAGCTGTCGATTCTCTCATCTCACAGACACAGACAAGTGGCAAACAGGTTCTCATTTCAAAGCCCGGCACACTATACACATTCCTCAACTTTGCATGGGCCTCCTTGTCATCAAAGGCTCTTTATTAAGTGTCTCAGTACATTTACACATTGGGGAACAGTTTAAAGTTGGCTCGTGATTAACTGAGTTGGAACATCTATCCCAGAGAGCAGCGTCAGGCTGATATCTCAACATCTGATGTGAGGCTCAAGGTCCGTATCTGCAGGTAATAATCAAAGCCACAGGCTTCTCCTTCACTCTCCCTCCACGGAGATCACACAGACCGGCCTCCCTTGCCCCCCCCCCCATCCAAACATATACAGCCCGTACCTTATAGACGAAGTTAACTGAACACAATCTGCTGCACTTGACACTTCTTAAATCCGCTCCGTTCGTCACCAACATGATGGATTGCATTTATAATATTCAAAGTTTTCCATGCGTCTACTACGTTGGGGATGTCAACAAACCTGTCGACAAACTTGTCTTTTTTCTATCAATCTTAAAGACGTATAAACTTGACTCCTCACCCTCGCCACGACCTACACACTCACACCTCTGTGTGTATTGTTCAGGGGACAACTGGCTCGTGGCTCACAACCATTCACGCTCTACGCTGGCCTCAACCCTCGTCACCCGTAATATAGAGTCCAGCAGACTACACCGCCTCTCCTCCACAGCGACCTTGAGGTCAGGCCAGATTGCCCTCATATAATGAGAGTGCTGTTTGGGGATTTGTTTGGCTGTGATAGAAAAAGGGCAAGCACATGCAATGCACCCTGGGTCTTTGTCTGGGTGCTGACGGTATTGACGAGCACTGATCGATGTTAATTGCTAGACAGAATGGCCATATTGACCAGGCAGCCAGGATGAAGTCAAAGGAGGAAATAGAAAGAGGGAGAGAGAGAGAGGAAGAGGGAGAGAGAGAAGGATGTAGAGTGAACGCTGCCGGAGTCTGGACCTACAGCAGCTTTAAGGCCTCAATGCGCGCACACACACACACACACACACCTCATCTAATATAATGACTTCAGAGAGGAACACAAAGACATAACGTCCATCAATGCCAAGTCTATTCAACACAACAGAGAGCGTATGCAAAATAATTTGTCTCTTTGTGACTTTGTGCACATGTGCGCCCATCTATACGTTTTCCGGTGATTTATGTGTGTGTGTGTGGCAGCGTGAGTGAATGAGAGTGAGAGAGAGAGATTTAAGGATCAATAAGCAAGAGCTGCAGAGGCAAAGACATGGGCAATCAATGTGCTGACTGCAAACAGAGGAAGGGACAGAGCAGATAAAAAAAAAACTGGGAGATTAAAGAGGCTGATAAGGAAGAAAATGTCCAGGATGAAGTGATGTGACTGAGAAGTGTTTGTGAAACCAAGACATTACGTAGCCTTTAGCAGTAAGACCTTCATCTTCTGGCCTTTAATCATGTTAATGCACTGAACATTCCCAAAACATGGTTTCTCCCACTTCTGTGTTTCCTACCCATCCTATATATTATTTCCTAACCCAAGACAACTCAATAAATAATCAGATCTGTATGTGACTTCAGAATGGATACATTCATATTAATTCCTATCTTTACTCACAGTTTTAATTCATTTTACTCTGTTAAACATGAACATATAAACCCATTGGTGCATTACATCCACAGCAATGACCAATACCAGAAGGTAAAAAAGAGTAACCTGATAGGCTTTTTGTGCACAGAATATTATTACTACAATGCAACACGAACAATGGTGCAATAAATCAAAATACCAGTATTAAAGTTGGTCTGTTTACTTATTGGTTTAACACAGTTATATTTCACAATCAATCAAATTAGAAGACATGAGTAGAGAGATTTTGAGCATACTTTAATTGTACTTTGAATTGTATGCAAAAATCGCTGTTTTATTTTGCAGTCCCAACAAGCATGACAACTCAAACAATATAAAATGAAAACGTTCTAAGACAGACTGCAACAGCTCTTTACGACCTGCTTCGACAACACATCCGAGGATTCATTTTTTAAATGTTCTTTTATTTTTGGTTAAAGCAATAAACAAGACGGAGCTAGTTGACATAACAGAAACCTAACAACGTTCTCCTTTTAGGGTCAACAGAGCATCGTTGAGGACAAGGTGGTCTACACCCAGCACAGCCTGTCAGTCCTGTCCAGGGCCTCACGTAGACACAAACAACTTTTTGACAGAGAGAACAAGCTCTCGTCCCAGGAGAAAGTTATGAGCAATCCACACAGATATGACATCTGGCTGGGCTGAAACAGATGTTATATCTGTGACCTCCTTGCTGTGAGGCAACAGCACCAACCACTGTAACCACCGTGAAGACCAGCATCAACACACAGTGTTTCATTGTGCAACAGAGTTCCTGCTCTGGACCTCTCCACCTGGTCTTCAGAGCACCAGACGGGCCCCATACCTTATCACCAGAGTGTGGTTTGAGTCCTGATCCACAACATTTACAGCCCGTGTCCTTTTCAGCAGTGCAGTCAGCGACCAAAAAAGCACCAAGACGCAGGTGCAAAGACCGACAGAGCCAGTAGTAGGAAAGAAAAGAAAGCCACAGGATTCTCTGTGGAGCATGACTGGGAAGGCATTCAAACACAGTACCATACCCGGCCCAACTCAACCCTGTCCAGTCACAGTCACGGCCCGTGCGTGTGTGAGTGTGTGGGCGCGCACGGGGCTGATTTGGAGGAACATTGTTGAAAAGACTACACGCACATGTAAAGCCACACAGACAGAAAAAAATGCATAAGCGAAAGAAGAAAAAGAATAGAAGGAATGAGAGTTAATTGGTGTGTGTGTGTGTGTGTGAGAGAGAGAGAGAGAGAGAGAAAGGTATGGCAGGAGTGTTGTGTTGGCTTGGCTGACCGTCTGCGGTTGTGCGGCGGTGAGAGGAGAGGGAGTTTTGGGAGCGCAGAGCGGGCGTTGCTGCCGAAATCCCTGAGAAATGTTCGTTTTGGATCCATGTCCGTGCTTACATACCGCCCTCCCGACTGTCTCCCATTCTTCGTTTCGTTTTTCCTCTTAAGGTTTTAACTCAAAAGTTATGAAACGGGGAGTCAAATGGTGAGAAAGTGCGCTGCCCTCCATCCGTCTTCAGTGCGGGGCCGCGGAGGCTGCAGGCGTGTGGTTATCATTCGCGAAGATAACCCAAAAAGTCCGCTTGGTTTTAAGACAGATGTTCACTCAGCTCTGGCAGGTGTTTGAATTCTTCATGTTTCTTAAACTATTTCATTTTTTTTTACTTAACTTTTTATGTGGCGCAAGGACTCGTTAGAGAAACGGATTCCAACGCGTAAAATGTTTTTGGAGGCAGCCTTTTTCCAAATCGTTTATTAGCATTCTTTGAATTATTCCCATGTACCAACGCTGGTTGAAACAAGACAGAACAATGCAAATAACAGTCCAAATGAAATGTGCCAGATTCTAGGGGAAGAAAAAAAAAATGTTAGTTTGCACAGCGAGCAAGTGAAAACCATTCATTACCAGATGTTTTTCACATAAGACGGAACACCAGTCAGAGCTGATATTTTCGCAGAGCAAGTTTGGTCGGCATCGCATAGCGACTGACTAATGCCATTTTGATCCAATAAGTGTGCGTGTGCGTGTGTGCGAGGGAGAGAGAGTGGAGAGAGAGAGAGAGAGTGAGAGGGAGGGAGAAGAGGAGCATAAGGGAGAGAGAGGGAGGGAGGGAGGATTGATCCGCGTCTGTTAAAATCTTGTTCTGGTTTTTCTTGGAGTGAGGTCCGTGCCTGCCGACGCGCCTCTCCTGTGCAGCCCCCCTTTAAGAAGAGCTCTTAATGGAAGGAAACCTTGGAATTTTTGGAAAGTGAGAAGGATCTGCATAACACAAGTGGAGTGGATAACAGTGCACGGCTGTGGCTTTTTCATGCGTTCTCTCTCCCCTGGTTTGACTGAATGAACGGGGAGGCAGATAAATGGTGGAGAGAGAGGGTGCAGGTCCTGGACTTGGACTCGATCTGTCAGACTAATTTGGGGTAAACACGTCTTCAGAGTCTGAACTTTTTTCATTTCTTCACAAACTGACGAGCTCGGCTCCTCTGGCACAGCGGACTTGTTTTTTCTTTCCTCGGAACGCGGAGACTTTCCTGTGTTTCTCCCCCCTCCAGAGAAACTGCTCTAAACTTTCTACGTTTAAAAAAATAAATAAAACGATCAGATTGCATTTTCCCCCTTCAAACATTTTGGAGGTGATGTCATCGTGCTGTGTTTTGGCTGGCATTGTGTCGGGAGGGCGCACAGAGGACTACTGCAGCCAGGCGGTAACCAGCGGCTGAGGCGAGAGGGGAAGTCCGGAAAATCAGGTGCAAAGTGCGGCTGTCATTTCCTCGCCGTGTCGCGGGTGGCTGAGTCCGCCACCCAGTCACAGCTGTTCCCATCCTCTCCGGCCACCCCTCCCTCCCTCTTCGCCTTTCTTTTCACTTTATTACCCTCTCCTATTCTCATTCACCACTCTCCATTCACCCCTCTGAGCTGGACCGCTGTCACCCTCCCTGCCGGACAGTGTTGGTCGGTGTCACCTGAGCCGCAGATCCGTTGAGCCAGCGTCGGAGGAGCAGACATGAGAGAGGGCGCTTTGCGTTACCCTGCGCCTGCAGAGCCCCCGTCTCCAACTCAGCATTTACTCCATCAGTCCGCCCAGGTTGTCCACATCCTGCAGCGTCTGACCCCGTTGAGCTGGGACTGAACCCGTGTCTGTGTCCGAACGAACACTTACTTTAAGTCATCTCGGAGACCAGGAGACTGAATTTGTTCTGAAACCCTGTGGATTACCGGGATTACCAGGTTGCGCCGCAGCTGTCCCCGGGGCCCGGCGTCACACTGGTCGATTGTAGTTGGTTATCTTTACGCGTGGGCGCGCTTTCACCTGTTCCTCTCATTGTCGGGGACGCGCGTCGTTTAAAGCCCTAACCCCCCCTTTTCCACCCTTTTGCTCCCCCGCCCATCTGTCTTCACCGGTCTGGACAGCTGTTAGAGGTTGCCCGGCGGTCACAGTGGCACACTTTTACCTTACACCCGCACGCTGACCCACGCCGGGGGAACCGCCGCCGATGCCAGCTGGAGTGTCTGACTTTTTGACTTTGCCCAACATCCAGCGGATTCAGAACACGCAGGGGAACTCTCCGGACTGTCGGACTGGCTCATCCCGAGCGAGGAGACCGTCTCTGGGCCAAGTTCCATAGTGGAGGGGGGAAGCAATGTGGCCCCTTCTTTCCACGCTGACCGTCTTGTAAGTCACTTTTATCACTTCACTATGTAAAACTGCTTTAGTGACAGGACACGTTAGACGAGGATGTGGATGCAGATGGAGCGAGACTGCGGTGTCAAACTGACACATCATTCCTCATCTGTCCCCGTAGAAAACATAGCGTGGAGTGGGCTCTGTTTTGATTGGCTGCCAGCTCAAGGTCACTGGGTCAGAGTCAGTGCCACTTCACTCATAAATTTGCCCCAAAAAACATCTTTATGGCCATCTGTAGTCAATCCATGAGCGACCCAGCTGGCCAAAAAGTACACTTTCCTTGAGCCAACTGTGAAAATAGTAGTTAAATAACACAGGCTTTATCTAGTGGGATAGGAAAATGATAAAGTGCCAAGTGTGGAGCTGACGGAGGAGGACACAGACTCGGGGGGTTTGAGTTCGCCCATTCAAGGTGTGTCTCGTTAAAAGCCAGGGGATTTATTTTTCTTTCTTTGTGTCGGCTGCACTTCTCCCAGATGGCAGTCATCTCCAGATACTTTTCATTCCTCCCACAACCTGGACAGGGTGTGTGCTGCTCCTGGTGTCTGCCTGGCCTTCTCTCTTCTCCATGTCTCCTCACACTCTGTTTGCCACCGCCTCCTAACTACGTACATCTGTCTCGCTGCATTGCCTTTCACCCATTTATTCAGTGATTAATACGTGAAAAATGATTGAAGCTCTGGCCGCCTCTAAAATGACGGGTCTTACTGTTCAGTCTGCTGGTTTGAATTTTGATCACTTCTCTAGTCGTCTCTTCTCAGATTTACCACAGACACCACTCTCCATCCTGGTTTAAAACCCAAGGTCCTTTAGCTTTGTTTCTCCAAACCACAGGTCCATGTCGAGGTCTTCCTCAAAGCTAACCGTGGCCCTAACACAGACCGTTACTGCCGATACCGCTCACACAGCTACTAGACTAACCACTGTTTCATGCCAAGGCCCACTGCTGAACATCTGAAACTTTTACACTGTGCCGAAGCCCACTGCTCCAGTCTGGGGCTACCACGTTAACCACTTCTACACACAGCTGAAACCACCGCTCTGTGCTCAGTCCCACTAGGCCGACCGCTCTCACTCCACGCCGGTGCCAAGTCCTCGGTGCAGAGGCCTGCTATTCAAACCACAGCCTCCATATGGTGAATCTGCTGGGACGCAGGTTTATGATGTCAGACCTTTGCTTGTTTTGGCCAGCGGCCAAGGTGCACCGGGCTTCCCCTCTCTCCATACCTCCTCCCGTTTTTACTCTTTTTGACTTTTACTCTGCAAACTTTTTATTCTCCCATTTTCTCATCCCTCCCCCACTCCCTTCTGATCCCATCTCCCTCTTTCCTCTCCCCTCCTCTGTGTGGCTGGCATAATATGGAGTGTCTGTGGTTTTTGTGGGACCCGGGGAATCCAGTGCTGAGGCACTTTTCCTGCAGTGTCCTCGACGGCAGTGCAGCTGTGGTGTTTTAACAGCTGAGAGTCCTCACAATGCACAGGCGCTCGGGTTTTTTCGGCTGCGCAGGCAAAATGCGAGGGCCAACACTTTACTGCACGGCCCAGCACATCTGCATCTGTAAGAGGGACTCGGGGGCCAACGTACGGCAAAGAGGAGAAAGAGGTGAAAAGGAAACAAGTATAGATTTATATACAGTCTGATCTTTGTGTGTGCACAGCGAGTGGTAGTGTCATGTGCTACCGAGAGTACGAGCCGAACCCCTTCCTCTTCTTTCTCATTATTTATCTTTTTGTCTACCTTTCAGGCCAGACCACACTGCGGTTTAGACTAGTGTCTCTTATTTTGCTCACATTTTGCCAATTCCTCTTCTGGGATGTAACCTCAGAGCTTTTTTTTTTCTCACCTCCTCTCTCCTCCATCTCACATCTGTGCATCTTTCCATTTCTTTTTGATTTTAATCTTGATCTATTCCACGTCAGCTGTCATCCGTACATCCCACTGCCCCCCGTCCCTCTTCTCATTCTACCACTCTGGCTATCTGCCTCTCTCAGCAGCACGTATGTCTTTGCTTTGGCCCAGCTGTCAGCTGCCTGCTCCTCCTGTACACACACAGACACACACATCTGTGTGCATGCCCATGACAGTGTGGAGGAGTCGTCCCGTTAATCCCAAACATAAAGGAAGATTGGAGGCGAGGAATGATAGGAAGAAGGTAGAGTGGACAGAGAAGGATAGATAGTGTGGAGAGAGAGAGGGAGGGAAAAAGAGACACGCAGAGATAAATAGCAGAAGATGAGGTGGGGAACTACAGAATTCACAGAACTGCTCCTCAGCCCACACACAGTTCTGAACTTCATCAAGTCTTCAGCCACTAATTCACAGCAGTTCAAGGCCTGCCAGAGTAGACTTTGCACAACACAATCGCTCCAGTGCTAACGTCGTAAATAACATTTGATATATCCAAGGTCAAGGTCTACGCAGGAAGAAGAATTTTAATTGTTACTGTTACATGTTTCCATCATAAATATCTTCAGGTGTTCACAGCGTCCACAGAAAACTTTTACACACTCTTGCACTGCTCATTAATTCTGCATGAAGCCACTCCGCTCCTCCACATATTATCTTTCTGCACATTTTGGTGCCTCATGTTCTCACGTATTCAAAGCCTCTCCGAAGGTAACCGCAGCGACGCGGCCTTCCAAAGCCACATCAGAGCAGAGGGTACACCTGTAGTCCCAGCCCAGCTGTCTACATACAGCGAGCGGCCAAATGAGCCAGCCGTTTCCCTTAGATGTTCAAAACAAAACATGTTCTAGATGTCTCGGCATGTTTGCCATTCCGCCACGGTCCAATCAGGTCATTTGGAGGCCAGATTTTAGCGAGGCCGGAGTCACAAACGGGTCAGAAAGTGGGTTTGGACAGAAGGCTGGTAGCGTTACTATAAACAGTGCTGTGGGTGTTGTCTGTCTGCCGATGCCGGGACATCTGTCTGTCTTTATGTCAAGTCGCCGTGCCAGCTGCACACCCAGTAACGTGAGTAATCATCCAGTAAGGAAAAGAGATGTTGAGCGGAGAGAGAGCAGCGAAGGAAAAAGAGATGGAAACCGTGGTGTCAAACCCCCGAGACCCTGCCAGCATTCACTGTTGCTTACATATTTTTATACTCATGTGTTTCTACTTTTTCCAGATGTGTCCAGATGTTGCTGGTGATGTGCAATCCACTACAGGTGAGCGTCTGCGTGCACGATGACAAGATGTTCTAAGTTGTGTTTTTCCGTACGACACCTAGTTCCTCCTCGTGACCTCTGTGCACTCTCACTTCTCAGCAGGTACTCGGTGTGGATGGAGTCAACTTCAGCGTGCATGTGGAGAACCAGACGCAGGTGCGAGACACCATGAGTCGGCGACACCACCGGGTCTACCAGCTCTACAGCCGCACCAGCGGCAAACACGTCCAGGTGATAGGTCGTAAAATCAGCGCCAAGGGAGAAGATGGAGATAAATATGGTAAGACATACACAGGCACACAGAGACACCAGGGAAGACACTGTTGAATGTGAAGTTTGGACATTGAGCGAGAAGATGACCTACTCTCTCTCTCTATCTCTTACACTCACACTCACACACACACACTGGGGAGGCTTTGTTGAATGTGAATGCATTCACACACAGAGAGAAGGTGACACACACACATTTTTACACACACACACACACACAGCATAATGGCTGCAAGCACAAAGACCTAAAGGTTGACCAAGTGCATGCATGAGCGGATACAGAATGCAACTGTGCAGGCGCACTCACAAAAGCATACACACATGCCTCCCTGGGCTGTGGCAGAGGGGCAGTGGAGCTTGTCTTGGGAGTACAAAGAGCTGATCGACTGGTTGCTGACTCAATGATTCACAAGAACGAGAGCAAAAGAATGAGAGAAAGAAAAGGTGACGGTAAAAAAAAAAAAAAAAAGAGAGTCAGAGTTAGAGGGAGAAGCCCAGCAGGAGGAGTGTTGGAGCGAGTGTTAGAACCTCATCTCTGTCATCGATCCCTCCATTGATTTCTCATCCTCCCTGTTGTCTCCTCTGGATTTAAAACAGCAGGCTTCCTCTCCCTCCCCTCCCCTCCCTCCCTCCCTCCATCCTCTAATACTCCTTCTGTCCATCCCCCTCTCCCCTCCTCTCCACCGTCGCTGTCTGTAACGACGTCTAATCCATTTTTAAACCACACATGATCAATTTGCAGGAAAAAAAATCCCTCCACAGTCAGAGTTCATATTTCTGTGCTTTACCACAACAGTAGCTCTTGTTGCACATCTTTTTATCTGTTAGTTCATTATCAGCTGGCTCTCAACAAAAAAAAAAACTCAAAACTGACTGTATGTGTTGAGGGCTGCCCCCCAGAACCCCGCCAAAAACTGACCAACCATAATGGCAAAAAAAAGGTAGACAAAAGAAAGAAGGTGCTCAAATGCAAAAACTCAAAGTGAAGAAACAGAAGGGAGATGAGAGGTTAGTTTGGGGGAAGTGAGAGGAAGAGGAAAAGAGGGAGGGAGGGAGGTATTGATTTCTCTTGACCCCTTTGTTGACTAAGGTCATTTAGGAACCATTTTAGGGATTTATTTTTAAACAGGCACAAGGTCTGTCTGAGGATGTGTAGTTGGTGAAGCAATGATGCCTGGAAGGATGAACACACATGCACCTGCGTGCACAAACACACCAGGCGAGTGTGCACGCTCACGTGCACTTTGGAAGAACAATATCGCAGGCACTCAGTCTGCTTGTTCTCCGGCTCTTCCTGGCCCTCCCTGTTCCCCCTTCCACTCTTGGGCTGTTATCTTGTTTGCAAGACCAGGTTGTGGTCAGCAATCACATCCATGTGAGCGAACCAAGCTTATCTGACAACCATCTGTCCGGCCACTGACGTTTACATCTGCCTGTGATTTATCCAAGCATTTAACACAACTACACTGTGATCCAGCGTGAATGCCAAATGGTTTAAACGCTGTATCAGATTCAACAGAGAGTGAGATAAGGGTCACGCTAATCACACGTTAGCGCGGTGTTTTTGTAGTTAATGAATACATTCAACGCTCCAATTTGGAAAGAAAAACCATCTCTGAATTTGCATTACTATACTTTACGTATCGTTGTAGTAATTCACCTTAACACTGGGAAACAAACCATTTGGTTTTTGTGGCTCTAATGTTTGTCTTTCTCACTGTCTGTCCCTTCACAAGCCCAGCTCGTAGTGGAGGCTGATACCTTTGGAAGCCAGGTGAGAATAAGGGGCAAAGAAACCAATTTCTACCTGTGTATGAACCGCCGTGGCAAGCTGGTAGGAAAGGTGAGACTTTTTTCATGCACTTATATATAAAAAAATACATGTATGTAATGTTTGAATCTTCTAACCATTGTGTCCTTTTTTTCCTCCTCTCTGTGAATGTGTGTGCGTGTGTATCTGTGGTTCCTCTGCTCTCTCAGAAGGCCAGTAATCGAAGTGCCGACTGCGTCTTTGTGGAAAAGGTTCTGGAAAACCACTACACAGCACTGATGTCAGCGCGATACACGGGCTGGTACGTGGGCTTTACGAAAAGAGGGCGTCCTCGCCGGGGCCCTCACACGCTCCCCAACCAGCAAGATGTGCACTTCATGAAGCGCTTTCCGCCGGGGGAGCAGCCTGACCTCACCACACCCTTCCGCTTCACCACCATCGGCAAGCGGGGCAAGAGGGTACGAGCTACTGGGCCTCGCCAGTAGTGGCTAATGCTAGCACCCACTGTCTTTTCATCCAAAGCCTTGACCTGAGCCTGCTAATGGCTAACTCAGTCATCTCTTTTATCACAGGTGGTTGAGCAACTACATTTGTCGGGAGAAAAAAAAAAAAAAAACATTGACCAGATTCTTGATGAATCATTTACAGGGTTTAGCTTCACACCGACTAATTTGCCACTACAGCCACATAGTTATTGACCATTCCTCTCATTGTAGTTCACTTGTTGGACCAACTGGACTCTTACTGGTCCACGGCTGGACCTGGTCTGCTTCTGTTCAATGGACAAAAGTACGGACAGGAAACTGAAAGGAAAACCAAAGTCTCCACAAAGAGCTCTGTTCCTCACCACGAAACCTTGACGTCTCCTGTTCTGTACCAGAAGTCAGTGTCACGTATGGGATTACAACCGGACCATACAATGAGACGAAGGGAGGAAAAGACTGATGAAACAAAGTGGGTGTGTAGCCTATGGAGAAAGGGAAAGCAGGAAGAAGAAAAGGATGAAAACGATGGCAGCGCAGAAAAAAGAAAAAAAATGATCAGCATTGATCATATTGACCAATAACAGACTATTGACATGTGACGCACTTATTTGTCTCACTGTTAAATTGGTGGGAACCTGTGAGAATGTGGCATGAATGGGAGAATGAATGCTAAGACGCTGTATGAGGGAGCAATGAAGTGAATGACACTGAATACACGCATGTTCGTACGAGGACTGGAGGAAATGTTTGGCAGAGTGTGCATGTGCCTGGGTGTGTATGAGCGAGCGAGCGAGTGCACCAACAACCACGAGTGAAGCTGGATCACAGGGGACTCTGTTGAGGGACCGCGCGGTCCCTGCATGAACCTGTGACAACTCACCGCAGGGACTGAATCTTATGGAACTGGAATGTATAAACTCCTAACTAAACTGCACCAAATACAGTCAGCTTATCACCAAACCAACAACCGACCAAAGACAACTGGAGACCTTCTTCATGACTCCTCCTCACACTCTCCCTCCCCACCCGAAAGACACAACACCCTCAGTTTATAGCTGCGTGGGGTGACGAGCGAAGGGACGGGGAGGGCCGCCTTTGCAATTAGAATTATTGCTATAGATACGAGCCAGGGGACGATGCTCCTGAGCGATACCATGGATACAGAGTGCTGCTACCAGGACATTCAGTGGAACAAACCAAAGTCTCATGCATATACACGGGAGATTAAAAAAATATTAAAGGGAACAATTTATTGAAAAATCTATATATTATATATAAAAGAAGACAGAAACCCTAAATAAGCAATCTTACTATGACGGTTACTATAATTATGATAAAATTATTTCATTTATTTATTTCAGCTCTGTGTGCAGCAGTCTTTCTTGACTCAGTAAACCTTACAGAAACACTTCCTGTGTCTCCATGCCTCATTTCAAAGGAAACCACTGCTTTATATTAAGTTTGTTGGCAGTAGAAATGGAACTAAAAAGAGAAAGAAAAGAGCCAAAATGTTACACTTCATGAACCAAATCATGAAATCAACCTAAAAGCTTTGGTTAATAGGAATTAATTTAAAAAACAATTAATTAATTAAAAATGTATTTACTTTAAATGCATTAGCATCATGTCACTTATGGGGGGCGCCCCACACATTGAGTACCACTGCTTTAGATGAAGTTGTTTGGCTGTAGCTATCAAATATCTGCTGACAAATTGGTCCACTTCCTAATTATGAAAAGAAAAAAACAAAACAAATATATCTTGGTAAATAATGTCACTCATTATTTTACTACTAAAAAGAACAATTTGATACTCCGTCACTTTTAGAAATTGACACCTGCAACAAGCTTAAACAAATGGGTAGAGCAGAAAAGTATAGTTGAAAAATACTGATATATATTTTAGAAATAATAAGCTAACAATACTTAAAATCACTTTGGTCATAAAAGCTGCATTTACCAAAAGCTTGGCCTTTGTGAACAAAGATAAACTGGGATCAACTAAATTTCTGTTGAACTTTGTTGGACAAGACAATTTTAAAAACCACAATGTCTCACTATTGATTCAGATTTGGCAATGATATGTATATAAAAAAAATTACAAAGAAGAGAATGTCACAACAGAAGCTGCAGACTTAAGCTGCTCAAGTGTTATAGCAAAATAATTCATTTGCAAACTTGGCAATCATTACATCCCTCATTTTAAAATGATCAAAAAGTGTCACTGAAAACCAAAAGGTGAGACTTCCTGTTAAGTCCTTCTGTGTCCTTGCTTGTTGCTGACATCTTTTTCTAAAACAGTCAATGTTTAAACAAAACCAATCAAATTCTTGTTGTAACGATTACGTTTACGACTTTTCTTTATCCATTTCACATACTGTTATAAAAGCACAAACAAATTTTTTTTTGAGTGCATTTTGTTTTTAAGTATACCAAACAATTTGCGGTTCAAATATTACTAATGACCTGATGCGTATGTTGAAAGAGAGTTCCAACTTATTCTGAAGGGAATATTTTTGATTTTTTGATTAATTGTTGAGGGAACAGAAGCCATTTGAAAAACGTCTTTTTGCTGCAGGCATTTGTGTTAGGCAACATGATAATAATATTGACCATGATAAAATCTAAATTTGGCATCCATCAGAGTTTGTGCAATGTAACAGACAGTTTGTGAATCAGTGAGAAGGAATGATTTATGGCAATAGTCAGACTTTATGCGTCAGAACATTCCTGTTTTTACATATTCAATGGAATATCCAGAAAACTGTTGTCTCCAGACGCTCTCCTAATTTTAACTGCAACATAGCAGGCTCCCCATATTCTATTACTCCATTTCAGTACATTTAATCCAAATGGCTTCCTCCTTATAGATGTTTCCCAAATCTTTTTATACGTCAAGGAAGAAGACAACGTCCAAGAGCGACCTCCACACTATGGAATTCTGCTTTTCCCCCAACAACTAAAGTAGAGACAGGGTGAAGTTCTTCGACGTGCAGATTTGCAACAGAGACAAGGTGCAACCACTGAGCAGCCACAGAAGAATGGATTTTTGAAGTTTCAATTTCTCACTGGTTTGGCCTGGCTCTGTCGTTGAAGCTCGGGCTTCAGATATTAAATTACATGACAAACACACGTCCAAGGTGGACCGGCTTCACCCGGGAGCCCCGTGAAATTGCCTAGAAAAACTGTTGATCCCCGAACGTCGTGCAAAGATCAACACTTGAGCTCCACGTTGTAAAGTTAAGCCAAGAAAATGCAGCATGAAGGGTCAGACGGAACAGTGGAAGGGAAACATGCAGCCGTTAGATAGAGTTTCAGGGCTGCTTCTCGTCTCATCTGTCCCGTTCTTACCCTTCTCACCCGTCATCACCCCTCCCTGCCTCCCCTTCCTTCCCTATCCTAGCAGGAGGTCAGTGGAGAGATGTCACTGCCAAATGACCCAATCATGCCGGCAGACACAAACAGCTGACTCAGGGGGAAAAGGGCTGTACAAGGATTCCCATTGCAAGGCGGCAGGAATCTGTGCAGGGGGTGGACGGGGTCGGAGGACAGGGGGAGGACGTTTAAAGAGGACAGTGCAGTGGGAGGGAGTTGAGGTGTGGATGTGGGATAAAGAAGACAGATTAGGGGGTGGTGGGGGCGAGTTATTCATTTCTGGAACGTTGCTGCAGTTCCACCCGGGAATGATGGAAATATCCCGCATAGCCAAACCCAGAGTGGAAGGTGTATGGTAATCATGTCGGGGAAGGAATGCCAAATATGTGCGTGAGAACGGAGCTGTGACCTGAGAGCTGCAGGAATTATGGGCCAAAATCCCACAGACCCAGAGGAAGCACACACACCCATATCCAACACATACACACATCATATACTAATGGTGCTCCACCAAGCACAGATCCATTCCACACAACTTATTCCCAGAATTTAAAACATTCTACTACACCGAACCAAGTCCAGAAATGTTGAAAACCAAGCCGTTAACAAGACAACTCCCCGATTCCCTAAATACAGAAACAATATCAGAGCTCACCACCAGAATGAACCACGTGAACAGTTCCAAGCACATGTTTCTCCTTCTTGATTACGGTATTTACAAGAGCATGTGATCTCTACACTAACAGGTTGTTTAGTCTCCAACCAACAAAAGCATAAACAGCACGCGGTGACGAAAGCTGAGATTATACTCCCATCTGGTGGCCATTTTTGGTATATTTCCACAAGCTGGTTATTCAAGTATTTCTCTAACATGCCAAAAGGTAAACCATACACATATGCATTTTATCTCCTACTGTATTGTTTAGGGTTACTGGGGACTGGAGACAATCATGGCAGTCATTTGGGTAAGGTCATCGGGGCTACACCCTGGACAGTTCCTTGACCATCACAGGGCTACAAAGACGAACATTATGGTACATTTAGTGTCCGGTACAAACAAGGCTGCATGTTTTCTAGACTACGGAAGACAACTCACACAGAGGACAACATTCAAACTTAATACAGAGAAATGTTCAGTTGTCACTGTGGCTTAATTTCTCAGCAGGGCTGACACCCAAAAGGGGTGGGGGGGGAGTGGTGGCCCCACCAAATGGCACGGTCATATGGCAGGTGGGGAGCATCGAGGCAAAATGTATGAATTTCATTTCTAACTTGATTGTATTTCCCTTTTGAAGTATAGCAGTTTTGTAAGAGTTAGGTCAGTTGGCAGATTATGCTACACTTGTAGAAGACAGGTACACAACCACAAACCCCAAAGTAGTCCACCTCACAATTAAGTACTAAGACGAAACACAATTTTATCGTATCCGTGCAATGATACTTCAAGTAAATGGGGTATCACTGTATCATTGTAATATTTAGCTCCCCAAACTTTAAGAGATTTCATCAAAGAAATACAATTTTGGTTGGTCTTAGCTCAGATATATATGGGCGTTCTGTTTTGGGGGTGAAGAACATTGAAATTGGTTTTAAATTCCACTACACTGACAAACAACTGGGTTTTTATCTGTGAACAAGCTAAAGACAAGCCAGTCCATGTAAATAGGAGCAATTTACAGAAATAAAAGCCTAAAAAGGAGTTGCTACAGTGCTGACAATGTAACCTGAAATATGAGTGTGATGTGCATTTTTTTTCAGCAATTTTACCACATTGTAGATTTTCGTTTCACAATCAGGGTTTTGTCTTATGCCATAAAGAAAACAACTACTTACCCACAACAAAAGTAGTTGTTCAGACAGTTGAACAGACCTTCATGGTCTCCACCTGTGTAGTGAAACATGCCTGCAATTTTCAGATTCATTGCATGCAGTAAAGTATGTAGTGAAACTAGCCTAAAATTAACAATCGTGAAGAGACAGGTATACAACTGTAATTGATTAAATATTTGAAATGACAGATACCATGACGACCAAGTTGAAGTGTTGAAACAACATCCGTCCCCATGGTTCAATCATCACAGTGCAGATCATTGCAATCTGTTTTTAAAGACAGCACCACTTTGTCTTGTTATAAAAAAAATTCAAAAATACCATTAAAAACCAACATCCACGAACACAGACAGAACCAGACAGACAAACAGACATTATCCATGTTAGAGTTGGCTCAACACTCCACCACTGTCAAGTACTTTATTCACAATAAGTTCATTTTCTTCTTTAAAAAATCATTTTGAATATACAACACAATTTTTGACAAGACAACTCAGTTTACAGCTAAATTTGAGCTCTTGAGTTCCAGCTTCTCTCATAACCAAAGCAAGCATGTAGATGATGGACATGAAGAGAGACGTCGAGAGGGGGAAGATGATGAAGAGAGAGTGGAAAGATACGTGAAACAAGGGTGGGAGAGACGGAGAGAGAGAGAGGGAGAGAGGGAGAAAGAGAGAGAGCGAAAGAGAGAGAGAGAGAGAGGACTACGCTTAGTATGATGTCGGTACTAAGAACCAAAATACTCAATATATAATTAGAAAATAACAGTAATAAAAAACAGTAAGAAAGTAAGAGTTAGAGAAAAAAAAAAAACAAGAGGTGTGGCGGGACGCTGTATCCGCGGCGACCTCACATGCATGTCTGTCAGATGCTTCTGTTCTGCCATTTCACAAGTCCACATACACAGACGCACTCAAAAGTTGAGTGTGTGTGCCCGTGCCCGTGCCCCCCCCCCATCACCATTATCTAAGCAAGTGTGCATCTCTGGGGGTTAGAGCAAGAAAGGAAGCGTAGGGGCAAGGGTTAGGGGCTAGAAGGGTTTGTCGGGGAGCTTTTAAGAGAGAGTCAGGCAGGAGTGAGAGAGAGTGAGAGGGAGCGAGGAGATTGGTTCGTGACACATTTCTCCCTCACTTCACTCTCTCCGTCCCCCGTCCTTCTCTCCTTTCCTAGAGCTGAGTAAAGAGTCTCTGTCTCCCGAATCACAGCTCCGGTCATCCTCTGTCCAACTGCACCACTCTGAGTAAGTGTGTGAGATCATGTGTGTATTACATACATATATATATATATCTATAAATATATATCCAGATGATTCCATATCTGTGGCAACCCGTTTTGGCTTAGGGTCAAAACTTGGGAGCAGAAGCTGCTTAAAGATTCTACCAAACGGTCAAAAGGGAGCTGGAGACTTACAGAAGACCTATGTATGTTAATACTGTCGTTAGTGTACTTCACAAAAAACATAAATTAAAGGTCAAAGGTGACAATGTG